TTCTAAAGCCTTGACAGACGCCAACAACTTTGAGTGGGATATTGGGTCTTCAAATCTTTAGTCTTTCTTGGACTCTTTCTCCCTTGGACTTATTAAGGTCTCTCTTCCTTGGACTGCCCCTTGGAACTCTTCTTCTGGACTCCTTGGATCTCCCTCCTTGGACTCCTTGGCTCCGTCGTGGCTTGAATCTCCAAACGCAAGAGACAATTCCCCCAGTTGGGGGTATTGCCTTTTCTCTTTGGGATATCTAAAGCCAATCCAGCTCGATCTTCCAAATGGTAGAAGGACTCTCCCTTAGAGGATGCTTCTTCTTTTAGAATCCGAGTGGAATAAAGAATATCCCCGACTCCAAAGGTTGTTTTTCACACTCTTAACATTATTAACATACAAATTACATTAATTGAAAGCAGTAAATCTAAAGAATCCCTGCAAGATTATCCTAATAAAAATCCAAGCGGTTTATATAAAAAAATGAATGCTAACACCAGTGACTGTGCCAAGCATGCTCTTAATTTTGAGGGCTAAGAAGCAGCTCCCTCTTGTAGGCAGTTATAATAATTTAATAATTTGCCCCTCATTTCATTTAGTGGGGAGCCTGAGCAAGCCCTGCATAAAACATTGTTATAAATCATGATATTGCTTTCCCCTTTTATAAGCTTGGCATGGCACTGCACGGAAGAACAGTATATAATAATGGCGCTCCTAACCTATGGGGGTTTTTTTTAAAGTCTTTAATAGCGTTCACAATCCAGAGTGCAGAAAAAGTAAGCAAACATACCAATCAATTTTCAAAAACGCAATGCAGTGAAAACTACGAAAAGCTCCGGCACACAGCAGAAAAATAAAAACCCAGCGGCCTAACGCTAGGTCTAGAAAGTAGTGCCCTAAGAAAAAATTCTATGTGGTGGTGTAAGGCTAGTGTGGTTTGGATAAGTCCTAAGCAGGGTAGTTAGGTTAAAGTTAAAAATCTATAGTTCAGGTTTGTTGGGGTCTGAAAAGGGAATTTTGTTAAATCCAAAATATTTAGTGATTAGGGTCCATTTTAATTTATTTAAGTTTTTTTAATGAGTTTTAAAAGACTTAGGACAATGATATTTGAAGTTTTTAAAGTTGCATTAGCCAATTTTGGAAAAGTCCCGGGTCTCCTAGGAACTAGACTAAGGGTCCAAAAAAGTCACTAGAAAAAAAGACTAAGTCTGGGGATTTTCTAACAACCTTAGAAAAATACTAGACTTAATACGAGTAGTTAGACAGGTAGTAGGCTAGAATCGGAGTTCCTATCCAAAGTTATGAATTTTTCTAAGTTTCGGGCCCTAAATGAACTACGGTTGACCCAAAATGTTGACTTTCTAAATCTAAGCCCAGTTTCTGGAACCTAAAAATTTTTAATAAATACTAAGGACCCTAATTGGAGTCTAATGGCAGTGAGTTTACCATAATTTGGAGTTTTTCTATCAATTAGTTATGGATTTCCTAAAGGTCGGGGTATTTATTAGAATTTTCCTAAAATTTCCTACTAAAATAGCTTTTTTATTGTTTTGCTCCAAATCAGCTCAAACTGACTGGAATCACTCCAAAGGTCAGGGTGAAACAGAAAAAGTGTTCCCAAGTTTTGGAGAAGATTTAGGATTTTTTATTAAATTTTTAAATGAATTATTAGGGCCAAAATTGGTAATTTCCAACCTAATGGTTAATTAAGGGTCCAACCTAGAGTCCCAAACTTTACGGAGCCCTAATTTATTCTAAGGTTAAGGATCAGAATTCTGGTCAGTTTGAGGTATTAGGGTAATTTTCTGACTAAAGTGTTTTATTGTATTTTCGGAAGGGTCTCGGGGCCAGTTTAATTAGGGTTAAGTTTAGCTAAGGGCTTTAAAAAAGCTCCAAATAAAAATTCCTAGAAAATGTCAGTGATGTTTTAGATGTCACTAAGTTTAGAATGTTGTAAGTTTTATGTCCGTTCTGGGATCTTCCTAAATCCCTAAGAAAACATTCTTAAGTTCGCTAGACAGGTCCTTAATTTTTGTCCTTAGGGTGCACTACGTTGTAAGGAATTTAAGTGGTGTTGTCTAACCCTCAAGGTAAATAGATGCATGGGAGTACAAAAATGAAATAACATACCATGTCCATTTTTTTTTTTTTTTCTTAAATTCTAGGAGAGCCTAACTAAGTGCTCGTGGTGCGACCTAACACATGCAATCTAAGAATAAAGGACAGACACCTAAAAGGAAAGGATTAGTGAATGATTGGGACTCAATTTTCACTCAACTAATCCTCTCCCCCATTGATTGGTCTTACATATAAGATTCATAGCAAAAATTTCCAAATACGATTAGCGGGTCTCCCAAAGGTCCAGGATTTAGATATAAATAGTTTTAAAATATAATTTGAAAGTACTTATAGATATAAATATATTTTTTGGGAAAAAAAAGAAAATTATTGAAAATAGTCAATTCATAATACATAAGTATATGGAACCGCTGACCACCCAAATCGAGGTTCAAAAATAGTTTGAAATAGTTTTTTAGGGTTAAAAAATTTAATTAGTATGATAATTAATTTAAATAATATTAAAATAACCGATCAAAGGATAAAAAGAAAATAGTCATACAAGTCCAAAATCAAAGGGCTGGAAATGGTTCCAAATTAAATACGCACTTTTCT